ACTCCAGTCACTCCAGACACTCTAGATACTCCAGTCACTCCAGACACAATAGACACCTCAGATACTCCAGACACTTCAGACACATTGGATGCTTCAGACACCCCAGATACTCCAAACACCACAGACACAATAGACACCCCAAGACACACAAGTCACCCCAGACACCCCAGATACTCCAGGCACAATAGACACTTCAGACACCCCAGACACTCCAGACACCCCAGACACAATAGACCCCCCAGACACTTCAGATACTCCAGAGACCCCAGTCACTCCAGACACCCCAGACACACACTTCTCTGCTGCTCTTTGGTGGTGCTGTGCTCAGGGGCTGTGCAGCATGTGCAGTTCTCCTAGCCCCTGTGACAGAGAGTCCCTCTGTCCTGCCCCAGGGGCTCAGGGCACATTCCTCAGAGAGAGAGCACACACTCACACAAAACCCCTCTGTCTCTCCAGGAGATAATGGGGTGCATTCTCATCTCTGGGGACAGTGCAGAGATCTGTTTAGGGCTCTAGACTGACCCACTATAGTGCATTTAATGCTACAGGAACCTCAAGAGGCTCTGGAGTCTTGAGTGTGGATTTAACTGGTTTTACTGTCACCTCTCCCTGTCTCTCTGTCTCTCTCTCTCAGTGTCGGTGTGCTCTGGCACCCAGAATGGCCTGAGTGTGACGGGAGACTCCAACCTGCAGTACGAGATCATGGAGAAGCTGTACAGCGGCTGTGAGATCATCATGGGCAACCTGGAGATCACACAGATGGAGCACAACCGCAACTTCAGCTTCCTGAGGGTAGGGGGCGCCACTGAGGCACTACTGCTAAAGAGCTGAAAACAGGGATATAATGATAATGTTTCTTTATTAGCCCTATACAATTTCTTGCATTAGAAATTCGTCTTTTCGCATACCCCAGCTTTTCTCCATGGAGACACAGACAGGGAGAGAAGCTTGAGGTCAGAGCGCAGAGTCAGCCATTGTACAACACCCCTGGAGCAGCTGGGGTGAAGGGCCTTGCTCAGGGGCCCAACGGAATAGGATTCCTCCACCGGCCGCAAGATTTAAACCGGCAACCTTCCAGTCATAGGCGCAGATCCTTAGCCACAGAATATAATTCATATAATCGTCACAAAAAACAACCATATTAGAAAATTATGAACTATATTGAATTATGAGCCTTTCTGAAATACTCTGATAAAAGTGCAGTGACGGGACCAACACTGTGAAGAAAGCACAATAATAATAACAGTATTATGTATGGGAGGGTTCGAAAAATTGTGAAAATTAGGAATTGACTGAGCAATTTAGTCAATAAGTAAAATAAATGTTCATAACCCCCAACTTGTAAGTGCTTTATCCAGAATATACCCGAGCGCTTGGTATAATTAGAGGCACGTGAATTCTTTACTCTCTGGCACAGCTTTGGTGAGAAGAGTAATAATCCAGGGACACTTGGATAAACCAATATTAGTTAATGATGACAATACAAACACTACACCACACACAACAAAACATACAACACACATTTACAGTATGTACAAGCAAGGCACATCAGAGGCCTAACATCCCCATCAGTCAGAAATCCCCGACTTCCACCAAGTATTAAACCCTTCATACCAAATAAGAGATAAGATAACTTTCGAAATAAATGCAATACAACCTGCAGTAAAATCTCTCTCTCCCTGCACCCCGGATGCCACAAAATAAATGGGAGCCTATCTCCCTATTCTAAAAATGCACCCTAAGCAGGAAAGACATCTCTCACCGAGGTATCTTTTACCTTGGAAACCCAAAGCACAGAATAGCAGCTCTGTCTAGCAAGGTTCAGATACCTGGCTCCAGTCAGGTTCAGTTCGATGATCGTGAAGTAGGGGCTCTCTCCTGGTGCGAGCTTCAGTCCCGACTCCTCCTGACTCCTTTCTTGGCTCTCTTTGTCTTCTTCGTCTTTCCCTGCTTCTTGTTGTCTGCTCTGTGCTCTTCGTGTGATCTTGTATGATGTGCACCTGTCCTGCTCCTTGACAATCATTAACCCACAGCTTACCTAGCTATGCCAAGGTAAACCTCACAGTTGTTTCTGCTCAAGAGACCCCCCACATCAGCAAACATCCTCTCTGCTTTGGAGCTGGAAGTGCCAGGTGTCACAGACTTTACCTAAACTCTGAGAGGCACTTCCTAGTCACCTAAAGCTGTAACAACAGCAATAATCTAAATAGATCTGGTGTACATCTATAATAACTGAAATTAAACTGGTATAACACTCAATGTTATTAACGATATTATTTCATTATCGTCATACTAAAATTGACCATGCTAAAAACTGAGTATACTAAAAAAAAAGACTAAACTAGTTCATTGTAAAATAAATCAGTTTTTCATTCATCGAAACTGTTTTTTCCCCTCTCAGTCCGTCCGGGAGGTGACGGGCTACGTCCTGATCGCGATCAACCAGTTCTCCTCGCTGCCGCTGGGCGAGCTGCGCGTGATCCGCGGCACCACGCTGTACGAGGACAAGTACGCCCTGGCCGTGATGGTCAACTACCAGAAGGACGGCTCGCAGGGCCTGAGAGAGCTGGGCTTCACACACCTGACAGGTGAG